TATCAGTACACTCATTTTAAAAAAACATATGCACGCTATATATTCACATTATCTACAATCCGAATACCATATATTTTTTTTTAAAAAAAGGGATCATCATCTTCATCTAACGATGAGAGAAAAACAATGATGTTTTGTGCTTTCTCAACGAGATGTTCCAGTGAGTGTTTAAACAGTGACCGGATGGGTTGTGCATAAAGCACTGTTCAACGATTACTTTCATACTCCATGTGTTTACACACCATATGATTTTCCTAATCATTTTTGAACGAGTCATTCGTTATTTTTAAGAATACTACACGATTTTGAACGCAAAATGCCATGATTCACCCAGCGCTTTGATGCGAGAGGTCGGCGCAGTTTTAGCAATGTCAAAAAGTGCACCGCCGCATTTCGTCAAATGGCACACAGAATCGCTAGTGATATGTTTTACAAATCGCAGAGATAGAGAAGCTTTGATGGACCAGCTTAAATCCCTCCTCTAAGAGATATGTGGAGGGAAAGAGTGTGGAAAGGGTGAGCTGGCATAGCGGGATGGAAGGGAACACCCATGTCCTACGGGGGCGAGAGAGGCGAGTTCCTCATCTCGTATTTCCCGACTATTATTTCATGTTTTTTTGGGTTTTCGTCTCACCTTTTCTTCTTTTTTCGCTTCTTTTTTGGGGTTTTTTTTTATTTTTTGTTGCTTCTTTCTTCTTTCTTTTTTTGTTGCTTCTTTTTCTTTCCTTATTTTTATTTTTTAATGATTTTTTAGTTTTTATTTGTTTTTTTAGTTTTTTATTTCCTATTTTAGTTTTTTATCTTGAGTTTTTTGTAGTATTATTAAATTGTATTTTATGCATTTAGTTGTATTATTTTAATTAAATCATGTGTTAAAAATATGAAGTTATATTAAAAAATGGAAGCTTAAGGTAAGGGAAGTGAATGTAAAAGGTAAAGCTCACGTGACACTTAGTTGGTAAAGGTAAAAGAGGTAAAAGAGGAATTTACATAAATAGTACTAAAACATAATGATTTTTCCCTAAATAGGACTATATGTGTTTTTTTCCCAATGTAGCACTTTTAGTCATTATTCATTAGTCATTATCCAAGTAAATAATCACCATTACTGGTCATTATGGACATTATTAAGTGCTATTTAGGAAATAAAACAATTTAAGTACTATTTAAAGAAATGACTTAAGTTTCAGTGCTATTAAGTACTAGTTGCATACCCCTTAGCCTTATGAGAAGACAAATTATGTTAGTCATAGGTTGTCTTGTAGAGAATGATGTCAGCATCAGATACTTGTAGAGAGCATATATTTAGTAATTAAATTGCTTTCTAGCGTAATTTCTTAGAATTAAATTCAAGTTTATCCTTTTGACACATCTTGCTTAATCAGTTGAGCTACGTCCACCGATGATTTAGTATAAATAGTTTTGATTCAAAATTAAAATCATTGATTCCGAGAGAGAATGACAAATTGGAACGGGACCGGTCATGAAGGACGGCTCTAGTCCCAATATTTTGGTATAAACTTGGCATGTTTGGTACCAAATTTTTTAAAACATTGATTTACTAGACCACCAAAAATAAACGATGTATTTATATTTTTAATGTTTACCATTTTGACATTGTTTTCATATAGGCCTCATTTGACAATAGCAATAGATAAGTGTGTCCTCTTACGGTTAAGTGAAAATGTTATTCTAAAAAAATGTGATAAAGAAATAAACCAAATTAAATCCAGTATCCATATCGATTCCACCCTAGCCTGGAGAAATGGAATTGGTCCATGTCCACTCAAGTCGCATTCAATTAATTTTAAGAATCATGTTAGGGGGGTGGAGGTGAACAAGGTGCCCGTCTGGTACAATTTTGGTTTCAGAATTGCTGCTTTGGGTACCCATCTAAGGGAAATCCGTATCGATATCATGTAAGCCCGGCTCCAGTTCTCGGTCAATTTCGATTCCAAATCATTTCTGGGTTTTTTTGGAAAAATGTTACTCCATATGTAATTGAGTCCAAATAAAATTTAGTTAAAATTCCACGTAGTACTTCATTCAGACTTTAAACTACTACTATTTTTTTAACTATCGAATTCAATGTCTGTGTCAAATATATGATTAACTTTATACTCCTTCCGTCCTAAAACTTTCTTTCCAGAGCACTATTTCAACTTCACAGGAATTTATATTTATTTGTGTTTTTTCATGACCTATATGATAAAATAAAATATTCTTATCACCACTTGTTTTGTTGAACTTTTGATGTAGTTTTTAAATATGTATGTTTTATTTTTTATTTCTATACCAATGTTTAAATAAAATAGATTGAAAAAACTTGGGATTTTTCTTCGTTTTGCGCAACGGGAATAAAGTTTTAGAACGGAGGGAGTACTTCGTAAAAATATTGGCTAATAGGATGTACTCCACGTATAGGTTAATGATATTATTGGCCAAATGTTGGCATGGAAAATGGATCAACAATTAAAAAGAAGGATGAGTCCCAATTTCGTGGGCATTCTCATATTCTAATACTCCGTAATAGATAAATTAAACTTGATTGCAAACTGAAGACAAAACGCGAAGCCTGCACCTAGTACTTACATATGTCATATGTCTAGCATAATTACTTTTCAACTCAATTGTCAAAAATCGAAATCGAGTCTTACTCTTTAGACAACGTGCCTATGTCTTATCAAGCGTGAAGGAGGGCGTCACTGCCTCCCTCACGCCTCCTTCATGATGCTGCATGGCGCCATTGGCACTGGCTTCGAGTGAAGGGATGGGCGTTGCCCCTTTTCTATCAAACTCACCATAATAACATTTTTCATCACTTCACATCTTATATGTTTACGCTCTATCAAGAGTCTCTAACTTTCATACTCCAAATTCAGACTTTAGGATTTGCATGATTGGATCATAAATGGTCCTTAGACAGGAAGAAAACTACCCTAACTAAAGTCACTTGGTTTCTTGAATATCAATAATTGGGGTTGGTGATAGTAAGCAACTGCCCTCTCGAGCGGGTTAGGGTTGAGTCCTTTGGTTGGTAAAATGATTAGTTAATGGAAATGTGCACGTTTTGCACTTAAACTAACTAATATGGTAATATTTCCCTTTTTCTCCACTAAACTTGTGCCGTTTAGGTACAGCTCTACAAGAGCTAAACTTCATGTGCATTTGGATTATTATGTTACTCCCTCCGTCCTAAAACTTTCTTCCAGAGTACTATTCCAACTTCATGAAAATTTATATTTATTTGTGTTTTTTCATGGCCTGTATGATAAAATAAAATATTCTTGTCACCACTTGTTTTGTTGAACTTTTGATGTAGTTTTTAAATATGCATGTTTTATTTTTTATTTCTATACCAATATTTAAATAAAATAGATTGAAAAAACTTGAGATTTATCTTCGTTTTGCGCAACGGGAAGAAAGTTTTAGGAGTAACTATTAGTCCATTAAACTATAGTTTTAGAAGCTGAATCGATAACTGAATCAGTCAAGGTACTGCTCCACTAGTCGAATCAGTTATGTAAAAATATTTAAAACGATATATATATATATATATATATATATATATATATATATATATATATATATAGTGTGGAAGCGTCTAAAATGACACTAGTTACTTATATACCAGTTGCTTACACTAGTTTGTTTAGGGTACCTACGGTGCTCCGTTTGTAAAAATGATGGTTCCTACCTCTCCTAACCCCCCCCTAAACTCCCCACCCCAGCCCCCTCTCGCCCCCCTACCGTCATTTTTACAAACGGAACACCGTAGGTACCCCAAACGAACTAGTGTAAGCAAATGACACCAGTAACACTGATGTCATTTTAGACTTACCATATATATGTATATATACACATACATACTAATTTTGTTCGTATTTCATCATTTCTTGAGCAACTCCACAGGTGCAGTCTGGTTGATTGGATGCAAGCCCCAAATCATCTCAGACCTTTTTCATTTTGGTGTAATATGCATAAATGTCTGGATTTTCCCGTGTAATAGAACACAATTCTTCTTGGAGTTGATATAATCTTGCACCATTGAATTTTCCAAATCGATCATTAAGCTCTTTCCAGAATTTAATCACATCAGTAACATGCAACACACTTTCCCCAATCTCTCAACTCAAGGTGTTCAAAATCCATGAAGTAATCATATTGTTACAACGTTACCACACAATAGTTTGCGAAGGATTATCAGCAGGCTTCACGGTCCTTCCATTAAAGAACTCTAATTTGTTTTTGGCCAAACACAATCTGCATTGATTTCTGCCAGGATCCCAATTCATCTCCCTTAAACTTGTTCGAAATCAGAATCAGACCAAGATGGTTAGAAGGATGAAGATAAAGTGGATCTGAAGGATTAATTTGGCACGAAGTTTTCGATGGGAAATTGATCGGAAAGTGTGTCCTTATCATACTTCGGAGTTGTGATTAGTTAATGATGCTTTATTAATGGCTCTTATAATCAAGTGACTCATGTTTTAACAAGACTTGTTGATTTTTGTATCAGGGGTGAGATTTTAGTACACGAATTTTGTTGTACCATTTTTGTTTCATTAACGTAATTCTGCTTTATTTAAAAAATAAAAGTAATAGTAACGATATAGAGATCTTTTATTTTCTTGAATATATAGCTCAATTCATCCAATGAGCTTTTATATACGGAGTACTAAAGTAAAAAAAAGAGCAATGCTAAGGTATAACTTTGGTGTACTCCATTCTTTACCATCCATTTTTATCTAATTTTTATTTATTTAATTTTTTTTAAAATTCTTGCCATTTATGTGGTGGAGGAGGGGGTGTGAGACAAATGAGGTACATTTTTTCAAACTCCCGGAGTTCTACATAGATCTGACCACCGCTTCCGCCGCGCGGAGCTTTCATCTGTCGCCGCCGTTACTCCAAACCCTCCGCCAACTTGCTGCATCCAGTCCATCATCACCGGATTCAACTCGTTCTGAAGCACCTTCATTCCGCTTGCCGTGCATCTTCGCAGCGCTCTCTCCTAACACCGCCGGGGCTTCCGTTGACCTCTCATCCGGCCAACCATTCCCCGAGTGGAGGCTCTTACACGTTTCCTAGGCGTGTCATAGCGGGGTATGTTATTGACAGTACAATTAAGATTTCTAGCCAATTAGTGCAACTTTTGATCTTAATATTTTGCACTGCTCTTGACTGTTTAGCCTGTTTTTACTGAGTTATTGATTGTACATTAGATGTGAGCGGTATTGATGGAAGGAACTACTCTTGAGAAATGACTCTAATTATTTAAGGCAGAATTAGTGTTAGCATGAGTGAGATTGTTGTTTGAGTATAAAGCAACAACAACAACCGAGTTGAAACCCACAAGAGTAGGGTTTAGGGAGGGCGTGTGTACGTAGACCTCCCACCTACTCGAAAGTAGAGAGGTTGTTTCCGAAGAGACCCCGGGCTCAGCGTTGAAAGTTGCATTGATTGACTAACTGCTACTTCATTAATTAAAGAAGCGCAAACAGTTTAGAGATCCATTTTGCTTTATTCCATCACAACCCAAACCCAAAAAAATAGTGAATTTTTGGCTCCATCGGTCTGTTTTTGCATGATTACAAGAGTTACTAGTGGTGATATTATCTTTCCATAAGCTAGTTTCATTTTCAAGATTCTGCACTCTCTGTATGGGAACTCTAAAGTTATAGTGCAGTGTTATGATTTATTTACTCAATACTTTAATAGGGAGCTCCCCCTTTTCTGGACAATATCAACAGGAGCCTGCTCCAGGAAGGGAATGTCTTGCAGTTAGTTTTGTGTATTTGAGAACATCCTGCAATGTCGGGGCTACTAAATGTATTCTCCTTCTCTGATTAGTTTTTTTTTCTTTGTAAAATTCTCTGATTAGTTTTACAATAGGATGTTTAGTTGTGAGGATGCCACTGCTTTTCAGCTGTTGGATTTGATGATAAATGTCTGGATATGCTTAAAGAAGGCCTAAACCTGTTTAGCTAGATGATTAAAGTAACTGTGCCAATTGCTAAATCTTTGTTGTTCAAATGGTACAAGATGTTATATGTGGTTTTGAACTACACTATTCATGTTGACCAAATTTTAACAGCATTTGGCACGTTCCCTTGCAGACAGGATTGAATGGGTCAGCTCCAAATAATCCTGAAACAACTGTTAGAGGTTTGTCCACTTCATTTGCAGCACAGTCAGGTTCCACTGCCACTGTATTGAATCACTCTGGTGGTATATTGTTAATGCTTTGTTGTTCAATATCTTGAATTAACTACTAAAGTAACTATGATTATTTTAATCTATGTTTTTTGTTTTACAGGAACAGTGCAAAGCCTGCAGGGGATCCACGGGAATTTCAATATGTCGAATGTACATGGTACATTTGCATCAAGAAATTCAAATATGACTGGTGGTCCTTCTGGTAGTGTTCAGCAAGTGGGGAACCTTTCTAATGGGAGATATTCAATAAATAACATTCCTACTGTACTTCCTCAGGTACCGTGACAAGCTTTCCATATACAATGATGATCATTTAGTTTTTATATGCTGCAATGAGTGCTCTGTGTCTCCCTACGTTTTACACATATTTGCATGGATATTACACACAATATGTCATAATAAATAATAACAACTCACCTTTTGATGCAGTTATCACTTGCTAATTCCCATGGACAATCAGGGGCAACTAACATAGGAGGTTTTCTATTTGTATACTTTTACATAGTTGGAGAATATTTTCTTTACCCCCATTTTTTTCCTTTTGGCTGATATGGAAGTAGCATTACTTCATTAGGTTTTGCTACCTAGGCATGATTGATTCTTTTTAAATGCAGGAAGAATTACAAATTCAATGACTAATATTGTAAATGGGGGCAATATTACCAGGGGTCTAAGTGTTGATGGAGGCTCAAGTATGCACAGTGTTGCTTCTCGCATAAATTTATCTGGTAAACATGATTTCCCAAAAACTAAGATTACAATTTTTTTAATGGGTCATTCCTATGTAGAACAGTTGGTCACATGATTTGTCAAGTTTATGAAACTTTAATGGCAATTTTGAAATTTAGAAGAGTACAATTTGCAGAATACTTAACCCTTTCACATGTGTTTTCAGGACTTGAAAGTTAAAAGTGCAAAAGGCTAGACTTGTTTTTTCTTAATTGGCGCATGACTAGAAAAACATGTGAAAATTAAGTTTATGCACCCCTGCCAAAGGGGCAAGCTTGTCTCTAGAGCACATGTTTCTTCCCACCTTTCAGCATTGTGCATGCACAGTGATCACCATTTTTCTTGCACCTGAATTACAGGTCCACAGATGGTCTCAATGCTAGGGAATTCTTATTCAGGTTCTGGTGCACCACTTTTGCAAAACCAATTCCAAGCTGGGAATAACCATTTAGCTTCTATGGCACTTCTAAATGAATTTAATGCACGTGATAATGCTACCTTTGATATAAATGATTTTCCTCAGCTGGGTGGTCGCCCTCCTTCTGGTGGTGGTTCCCAGGGACAAATAGGTAATTTTGATTACCAATTATTTGTTGCATGGTTTGGTCTTGTTATTTAAATTATCTATGAATGCTCATCTGGTTTGTGTACCCAGGTTTCATGCGGAAGCCCAACATTGGGTTCTCGCAACAGAATCAAGAATTTAGTATTCAAAATGAAGATTTTCCTGCCTTGCCCGGATTTAAAGGTGTTTTGGTTATGTTCCTTTGAAATAAATACATTTTGTGTTTGTGATGTCTTTACATATATGATTAATATCTAAGGAATGTCAAGCAGTATTTTTCTCTCTTTGTTTTGCTTCACCTTGATTGTTTCATCATTAAATGTAAACTCATACTTAAGAAATTTTATGAAAATAGATTTCAGGAGGAACACTAGATGTCAACCAAGTCTAGGAAAGAGAACAGGTGCTTTTGATGTAATTGAACTACACGCTTCATGTATCTTGTGGATAAATCTTGGTTTAAAAGTGTCACTCCTTATATTTTTGAATTCACAGAGTCTTCTTGAAATCTGAAGTATTGAAAATCCCTTTTTTGCATATTTTTTTGGTGAAAGCAGGAGAATGTTTCCCTAAGTTACATACAATGGGATTCTTTTCATTTGTGATACCATCCCTTCTCGAATTTAACAATATATTCTTCTCGGGAATATCTGAAGTCTGACCTTTACTCAATGAAATGTGTTTGTCATTCCTCCAACGAATTCTTACGGGACGTCTAAGTGTTGATCACTACATGCATAATCTTTGTGGATTTACCCCTAGTTTTCAAATGCAAAAAATATAAGTACCTTCTTTCTGAATGTTTAAAGCATACCTCTATTGCACCATATGATGTTTCAAATCATTTATGTAAGTCATCCAACTATGTAACTTTTCTCTCATACTTTGATGGCAATATATACTTCTAATAAATCATTGGAAGTATAGTACTATTGATGTGCCGCACTTACTACATTCATCATATGCTTTTGAGCTTTATATCTTTTAGTTACTGTCCCAAATTTTCACGTTCACCTCTTGTGTCAGGCATCATCTTTAGTTGTCCAACTAAGTATCATTCCAAATTACTACACTGAATTTTGTTCTTCACTTCTACCGCTTTCTACTACTCACTGTCACTGTCCCCTTTCCCCAAAGTTCTCTTTCTGTTTTGATATGAATGGCCTCTGTAAATCACGTGGCACTTGTCTCTTTTTTGTCATTACAACACGGGCTGTGAATACTATATCAGCATATCCCCATTTTAAGCTGCACCCTTACTACCACTGATCACAGTGTTTCCATTTCAAAATGTAGCGCGATAAAGTGCTCTACATTTGTGAGTTAGATCATGGGGTTATTGTTCACTGAATTTTATTGATTCAACAAATAGATTTTCGACTAGCATATGTGTAAATTCTTTACCAGGTGTTAGAGTATACATTTAAAGTGGTAGATCTGGATTATAGCATATTCTGATGAGGCTGGGGGCAATGCTGACTTTTCTATCAATGCAGGTCAGAAAGAGCAACTTCAAGAAAGTATGGCATCTATGATGCAATCCCAGCATTTAGCTGTAAGTTTTGGCTTCTTAATGAGTTCTTTAGAGCTTCATAAATTTATTATGTAAGCCTAATTGGCTTTATTCTCTTTTGTGTTTTAATTTTGATTTTGCAGGTGGGAAGATCTTCTGGATTCAGCTTTGGTGGTAATTATTTATCACATCAACCACAACAGCAGCAAGCCTCAGCAGCAAATGGGAGTGGGATTTCTTTCCCCCCTGCAAGTTATCAAGATGCTCGTTTCCATGGCCCTGAGGTATGCTCTACCAATGATTTATTATGTCACTCAGTTGTTGCAAAGTTAAGTTCACCTTTCATGTTTTGTCTTTTCTCTGGTGATTAGTTTTTGGGGAGGGAAGTCTGAATTCTAATCATTTTGCTACCGAATATATGGTTAAGATATGAAGATTTCATATTTAAATGTTCCCTGTCCCAAAAACAAGTTTACACTTTCATTTTTCGGTTGCCCCAAAATCTCCTTTACATTTCCAGTTATGGCATGTACTTTCATCTACTTTATAACTTTGCCCTCAACTACCAACTACAATTACTACCTTTTTACTCTTTTTTACTCCTTTTTAACTTAAAGTAGGGGCAATTGAGTAACTTCCTTTGCTATCTTAAACTCTGTGCCATTCTCAAATGACAACTAGTTTTCGGGACAGAGCTCCATAGGGAGTAACTATTTGTTTCTTTCAGGCTCGAAGCATAGGCCCCCCTTCAACTGGATCAGTTTCTTCCAACTTGTCAAATTTGGGACCATATGATCAACTTTTGGAACAGTACCAGCCATTCCAAAGGCAATCTCAATTTCGTTCAATCAGCTCATTTAGAGATCATGATATGAATCCACTACATGCATCACAAGCTGCTGATCAATATGGAATGTTTGGTTTGCTGAAAGTTATTAAAATGATAAATCCTGCATTAAGTTCACTTTCTCTTGGGCTTGATCTGACCTCACTTGGTCTGAACCTGAACTCACCAGAAGATCTTCACAAGTCTTTTGCCTCTCCCTGGTCCGATGAACCTGTCAAAGGAGAGCCTAAATACACTATCCCAGATTGCTATAATGCTCAGCAATTGGGTGTCCTAAAAGTGAGCGTTCAATATTTCTCTATCTGGAGGTACCATGAAATTATTTTTTGTCACACATGTTTTGATATTCTATTTTGCTAATGCAGCAAAGTTGGTTCTCAAAGTTTAGGCCAGAGACATTATTTTACATCTTCTATAGGTAAATCAGCGCCTAATCGAAGAACTTCAAGTATTTAATGATCTAATCTATAATGATTTGACAATTAACATTTTTTCATAATGTCTTGTTCGCATACTATGTCCTCATTTTTAGCTCTGAAATTGTGATTTTGTTATCTTCTCTCTGCAGCATGCCTAAAGAGGAAGCACAACTGTGTGCAGCAATTGAGTTGTATGTCTCTCTATCTGTGTGTGTGTGTGTGTGGAGTAAATTATAAGAAACTAGAATAGGTGAACTAAAAGAGGTATTTGGTATATTGACAATAGTAATGCATTGTGAATGATAGATCAAGAGAAGAACACAAATCTCCTTAAATTGGAATGAAACGCACTGTATAGCGGGCTAGAGCTAAACTATTGTTTCATACATTTAGTGTTTGCTTTATACTCCCTCTGTCTCACAAAAGGGTCCACACTTTGACTTACCATTTATTAAGAAAAATATTGAAAAGGTGTTAAAAAGTAAAAATTGAGTGGTTAGAATTTTATTGGAAGAGAGACTTGTATTTTGGACCACATTTTCTTATTCAAAAAAGGAAGAAGTGAGAAAATTATTTTGGGATGGATTTAAAAGGAAAGTGAGAAAACATTTGTGGGACGGAGGGAGTATGTTAGTATGTAATAGTTAATTTCGCTGCGTTGTTGAATATCTGAAGTTATATATTCTGATTACAGACACAAACAGTTGGCATTATACAGTTTAATGTTCAATCGGGTAATAAATATTGCACCTTTTAAATTCGAGAGAAAGCCCAGTAGACAAAGATATATGGAATCTTTAATTGCTCTCACTCATACGTGTTGAGTTAGATGTTCAAAGGGAATCAAACTTTCTCCAAATGGAAATGGAAGTAATGTTTTAAGCTTACAAGTTAGTAATGTTGTATCATCATATGCTTCTCATATATTCTCTCCACCACACAGTTTAAGCGAGTTGAAAAGTGTGGTTGGTTTTTTTACAAGTTAGTAACATAGTGGAAAAAGTGTGGCTTATTCAGAGCAGTTTAAAGGAGTCAATAAGTATTGTGGTCATGGACAGATGGAGGAAGTAACAAACTAGTAATCATTTGCCATTTATCACTGGGCAAAATGGTCTCTCATCAGAAATATTAAAATACCCATTATTAGTCAAAATCAAATCTTCTGTCACACTATCTCCTACATTGATGCGCCAATGTTGTGTTTTTCTGAGACCTCCTAGAGATCACTATAATGACATGGTTAATATTAGCCGCCCATGTCATCCTAGGATGACATGGGCTGCATTTGGGGTCCTTACGGTGCTCCATTCGAAAAGTTGATGGTTCCTACCGCCTTTAACCCCCCGGTTAGCCCTCCACCCCATCCCGACCCGAACCCACCCCCACCCCAGTCAATTGCACCCCACAAGATTTAGTTGACTTTGGAGTCAAATTTTGACTCCAAAATCAACTAAATCCTGTGGGATGCAATTGACAGGGTGGGGGAGGGGGTAGGTTCAGGTCGGGCTGGGATAGGGTTGGGGGATAGGAAGTAGGAACCTTCAATTTTTCAAACGGAGCACCGTAGTGATCCTGGATTGACATTGATTCTCAATGTCATGGGAACTAACGGGTAATATTAATGAAAATAAGATATGAACCACGCATTCCGGATAGGAAGAGTGGGATTAATGATGATATATTTTACAAAGTTAACATGCATAATAGCTGTGTCTCAGGCATGCCAGGGGATGGTTTTATCACAGAGAGCTCCGCCTATGGTTCACTAGGGTCTCGAACGTAGAACCTCTTGTCAAAACGGCGAATTACGAGAGAGGCTGTTACTTTTGCTTTGACCCCAATGCTTGGGAGGTGGTGAGAAAGGTTTGGACTTTAATGAACATAGAATTATATGTTCTCTTTTCATTTGTGCATAATCATTACTCCTTGCATCCCACAATTATCATCTTGTTTGACTTGGGCAATCTCCAATACAAAAACATTGACCATTATATGCATATTTAATTAGTATACTGGTATATTATTTCCAAACTGCATTTACAAACATATCCCTATTAAATTGATTTCATATCATAACTCAATGTACTTTTGACGCAAATTACTATCAAATTCTACAACATTGAAATAAAAAGTCAAAGCATGAAGATACATATGGGACACTGGGATCAATTAATACGGTGCAGTGTTTCCGTACTCATATAAATATCGTTAACTAAATGCATATTGTTCTATTAATGGGTTAGTCCTCTGTTCTCAAATGCCTATCATATCTTTAGAGTTTATACTGGGATTCAACCGTGTCTATTGTTATCGTTTGAGAACCGAGGGATACACACACACACACACACACACACACACACACACACACACATTTTATTCATTTATTTAATCCTTTGTTACCATTGTGTTCAGGATAACGTTGTTCTTCAGTATGAGATGATTGAAAAGGCCCCTACTAGCCTTGCTTAGAAGTTCTACTGGCTACATTATATGGAAAGGTTCAATATGCAAAGGGTATCTTCAGTTTCTTTTTGAATAGAATTTTCTTTCAAATCCCATTTCGTAAATAGAGTTGGGATTAATTTATATAATTGGGTCAAGTTTTTTCAATATAGGAAAATTTTCAGTTTTAGTCTCGTTATTTGTTTGACATACACTACTCTAATCTTGAATACACCTCAATTTTACTTCTCATTTTGTAAAATTATTCATTTTCAGTTCTTATAACTCATATTCAATTAGGAGTACCAATATACTCCCTCGTCCCGAGTTAAATTGACACATTTGATTTTACGGAATTAAGAAGTGTTAATAAGAACTCCTTCCGTCCTTGAGTATTTGTCCATTTTTAACTTTTTTTGATCAAAATTTGTAAACTTTGATCTCAAATTAAATAAAAATGATATTAGATATTGATACAATATAGTTTTATTAGATTTATTATATCGAATATTTGTAAAATATTATTTTATCAAATTAATATACAATATATATTTTATTTAATTATAAATCAAAGGTTAAAAATGGTTGACTGAAAAAAGCTAAAATTGGACAAGTAGTCAAGGACGGAGGTGGTAAGAAACGAGTACTTGAAATTTATTTAAAGAAAAGAAAAAAATTGTAGACCAAATCAATGTAGTTGAAATATATCTGTATATTTTTAAATATCAATAATTTGAACTATGTAACCCTAAAAGGCCAGATGTTAATGTGAGTAAATAATTTGGTACTCTCTCCGTCCCAAATTATAATATCTGTTTACTATTCACAGGGTCAAACTTCATTTACTTTCTTTCTCTATTTTCGTTAGCAATTTGGTAAAATAAAGTAGTATTGTCACTACTAGTTTTGTAGATCTTTTGATTTAGTATTTTAATATATAATTTTTATTTTTTAATTCTATACCATTTGTTATATAAAATGATTTGAAAAATAATTTCAGTCAAACATCGTAAATCGAAATAGACGTTATAAAATGGGAAGGAGGGAGTATTTCCGTATTTCATTATTACAATTTCTACCGAAGAAAGTCCTAAAGAGGTAAGGGGTGGGACAAGATAAGGTTAGGAGGGTGATATTTATTCTAAGGGGTAAGTAAGGCATATAATTCAAAATTATGTGCCTAATTAGAAAACAGGAAGAATATTCAAGTTCAGAAAAGATATTTACCCCTTAAAAAAACTATTGAACAATCCCTTTTAATCGAGTTAAAAGAAGATGGTCTACTGAATATGTACTAATTCACAGACGATAATTGTTATATGTGGTGTTATTTTTAGCATTTTTATTTTCTGCACAGGTTCAGGGAAAATTTAAGAATGAACGAATGGTTTACGACTTTACGCGCATTAGCGGTTAAGCTCATATGATCCTCTTGTCATACGGAGTAATTTATAATAAGTCTAAGACGTCAAATTTTTTCGAAAATATTATTAAGAACAATAACGAATCGACAAAGATACTATCAGAAACCAAATCGAACTTACGTATGTAGTAACATATATATCGATTTCACTTTTTCATGAATGTATCCTCCTTTATTTAAATTTTTTATAGATAATTTTATGAAAATTAATTAAGAAGCAATAAAATACTACAAGTAATATTTTGTTGATGATTGATAATTTGTGATATTATATTAAAATATAACTGCGTATATGTTCTTAGAGATATTATTTACAAGTATGTTTTTTTGACATAGTTTCAATGTTTCTTATGAATATGTTATTATGTACGGAGTGTAGTTTAGGCCCCGTTCCGTTCAATTTATTTTTTCTTATTTTTTCTTATTCTTATTAAAATCAGATCAGATCAGATCAGACCAGATCAGATCAGATCGAATCAGATCAGATCAGATCAGATCCAATTAGATCAGATCAGATCCAATCAGATCAGATTAGATCAGATCCAATCAGATCAGATCTAATCAGATCAGATCAAGACTTATTAAAATAAGATCTCATCAAGAATTATTATTATTATTATTATTATTATATTATTATTATTATTATTATTATTATTATTATTATGATCATCATCATCATCATCATCATCATCGTCATCATCATTATTATTATTATTATTATTATTGTTCTTAAAAATGAAAAAGAATAAACTTTAGAAATAGGTTAAATAAAAAGCTGAGAAAGTAATCCTTAATTATTAGACGTCGGAAAAATTAGTTTTAAAATACATTGACAATGTCAATCTAATTATACTTTTAAAATATATTTTTATTGCTACTTGTAATTTGAGTTTCTAAACTTTTGATCTTTTATAAGGATGAGATATTTTAATAAAAATACTATCTCTTCTATATATTGATTATCTAAATTTAATTACTTTTAAATGTATATCTAAATTAAATATTTATTCCAATGTATAATTCTAATTTTACAAAAAAATTATCATAAAATAAAAAATATTATTACATTATAATATGAATGATTATTCTAATATATGAATTAACTATTTTTATTTTATTAAAAAGGAATCATTAAATAAAAAATATTGATTATATTATAATATGAATTATCATTACAATTTTCAAACGTTATTATAAAGTCAAATTAAATTANATCAGATCAGATCAGATCCAATCAGATCAGATCCAATCAGATCAGATCAGATCAGATCCAATCAGATCAGATCAGATCAGACCAGATCAGATCAGAACTTATTAGAATCAGATCAGAACAGAAAAAATAAGTTGAACGGAACGGAGCCTTAGTCTCTTTAATTTCTGAATGAAATATAAATAAGTTTTCATAAACATTTCTTTGATTTGAGCTCTTTTCATTTTTTTAGTTTTTAATTTTTTATATTTAAACACATTTGACCTTTTGAACACACATAAAAGTGTTTCACAATATTTTTAAACTCGGTTTATAAATTAGATACAAAAACCATTAACTCAATCAGTACTGAAACAGATATGATACTAGTGCATTTCGAACCATCCATAATCGGCATTTCATGATCAAAATTTGCACGATATAAAATCTCATGCCAAATTAAAACATTTGATAATTCCATATAAATATAAGCGGATTTGTGAAAGGTTTTGTGATGGTTGTTTTTAGGTTTAGCATTATAAAACAAAGAATGCAAAAACTACTCAAAATTTCAATATTGATCACGGCGCGAACAACCTCCCAAAAATAGGTCCATAAAATGCCACGCGTCTTATTTTTATCAAAAAGAGCACCAAAAAAAGCAAAAGGTAAAACACCAAATTTTTGTAGTCCTTTTCTAATAGTTGAGTTTTGGAATGGAAAGATAGATACTGCAAAGCAAGTTCCGTTGTAGTCTAGATGGTCAGGATACTCGGCTCTCACCCGAGAGACCCGGGTTCAAGTCCCGGCAACGGAATAATATTTTGTCCTTTTGTTCCACGCTTGATTGGCATAGTACTAAGGGTTTGAAAATCACTTTCACAAGTCATTTTCCCAATTTTGCGTTGTTTGGCTTCCGGTCCTCTTTTTTTTGCGGGAGACAATTTGTGCCTCGGTTGCACTGCTTATCTTCACCACCATCGCCGACGCCCCACAGCCCGCGCCCCATCTCCTTCCCCCATATCGCTGCCCCCCGCTCCCCTCTTCTTTGTCCACATCGTCGCCCGAAAATAACTCATTTTCTAGAAGTCATTTTCCTCCTTCCCAAACCCTAAATTTAAAATGAATTTTTAACTCCATATATAGAAAATTAATTGATAACCAATTTTTCGTTAAAAATTATAACTAAATTGTATATTTGTTGATTCTTACCGTCGGTCGACCGGAAGAAAGAAGACAAAATCAATTGCCTCGGGTTCTGTAGGGTCTCGCCGTTTCCTCTAACGATGATAATAAATGCGGGTGTTCAATCTTAGGGAAGAAGAGAGGGACAAACGAAGGACACAGAAGGAGGTCGAAATAATGGAAACCAACATTGATACGTTAATGGGCTTCAAACGTATGTATTACGAGAGAAGGCAAAACAAGATCAAGGCTAAATATAATATGTTTTATTTTTTTATTAACGTATTTTTTTAAAGAGTAAATTCCATAAAAGGTCTCCAGTTATAGGTTGTTTTACATATTTAGTCCCTACATATCAAATATTACTAATTTAGTCCACAATTATTATATTCATTTCTATTGAATGGTCCTTTGTTAACATTTTCGTTAAGAACGTGGATAAAATTATAAATTCACACTCTTTTTTCTCTTCAATTAAGCTTCCTCCCTCCCGTACTCTTTCCCAAACCCGTCCCTAAAGTTGAAGCTCTAAACCCAAAACCGAAATCGTCACTCTTCTCTCAATTGTTTGTCTAACTGGTAGAACCCAAATTTGAAATCAGTAACCTTCATGGATGAGTTTTAATATTTATTTTCTTTGCAATTTCTTGAGACTAATCGATAAAACTCATCCATAAATCATATTGCTTTTGATTTTAGGTTCCAGCAGGAAGATTAATAATTGAGAGAGGAATGATCATTTCAGTTTTGTGTTTAGAGCTTCAAACTCAACGACGAGCTTGGGAAAGAGTACGAGAGGAGGGAGGAAGTTTAATTGAGGAGAGAAAGAAGTATGAATATATAATTTTATCCATATTCTTAACAAAAACATTAACAAAGGACCATTCGTGAAAATTGTGGAGAAAAAGAAGTATAATAATTGGAGACTAAATTAGTAATATTTGATATGTAGGGACTAAATATGTAAAACGACTTATAACTAGGAATCTTTTATGGAATTTACTCTTTTTTAAATTTAATATTCTTTTTTATTGGATATAATTTTTGATTTAATGAATTATTGTCGTTTAAATTTAATTAATTAATGAGATCTTATGAATTTACTTTTAAATATGCATTAAAAGTTAAAAAAATAAATATTTGAAGCTCTAGTTTGAAGCCCTGAGCTTCAAATTCATTTCAAGTGAAACTTTAAAGTAAGTTAAAGGGGGATTAAAACTGATGTGTGAGAGAAAGAACATTTGAAACCAAGTTTGAAGTCCAGGGATTCAAATGTATTTTAAGTACCCTTATTGTCTTGGGTTTTTATGGTTTTTAGTTACCATATTATCAACCAATAGGGAACTGAGACCAGATAGAACTAGACCGGACCGAAGATCGAAGTAAACAAAACAACGGACAGAAGACCGGACCTAAATCTATTCGTATTTGGACAGGACCAGAATGAAATACTTAGCACCGAAAAATATTTATTTTAAATATTTTGATTTATTATTTATGTTTTAAATTTTTTAATTTGTACCGTGCAAATAGAATAAAAAAGGACAAACTAGTAATATATATACTGTTGGAATTTTTGGCATTTTTAATAGGCATTAAATGGACCAACTTGGGTATGTTTGTCAATAGGTCCACTAACGGTTTTAACCGTTAATTAATGGACATGCATTCTCTTAAATGAGATAAATGTTTTGATAATTTATACGCCAAAAATGGTAGAGGGTGAATGAGAAATTGATTCTCAGACTTAACCCGTCAATAGAAGAATATGGTAAGGGTTGCAATTTTTGCAATTTTACTGAACCAATCTTCTATTATTAATTTTACGTATTGTTTAAAATTAGTCCATTTTTACGGAGTTAAATGGCCATTAATCTCTAATTATATGGGACAAATTTTAAACGGAGCATTGCGTAACGGACGTGTTAATGGCTAACTAATCACCATTAACACGTCATTAGTGTGCCACAAATGTCATGGATTAATGGTGTACGAGTTACACTTTTTAAAATTCCTTAGTTATAAATATCAAGGGCTCTCCATTGTTTTATGGGGTGGTTTCATGCGTGAGGAAGAAAAAAAAGGAAAATACTTCCTTGTTTTTTTGGAGAGAGCTCTTGATTTTCCGACCGAATTCCAGGTAATCCCCTTCAAAGTTTTTTTGGTCGCCAACGTTCCTACGTTGTTCTTGTTCGTTGGTGTGTGGTTGGTCCGTACAATCTCCACACACGATAGCGGTTTTTTCCTGTGATGAGAGTGCCCACGTTTTTTCGGAACGGTAGGCGGACACTACTACCTTAAGGACAGCTCCGGCGACTCCGCTGTCCTTCCACGGTGTTTTTTTTGCAGGTTTAGTTCATAAAGACCTCGCTGCATTCTGCCCTATGACATAATGTCCTTGTTGTCCAGTGCATAATGTCCTCGCAGCCCAGTGCATAACGTGCTCGTTGTCCAGTGCATAATGTCCTTGTTGTCCAGTGATTAATGTCCTCATACAACAAGGCTTTTTGAAGATATAGAAATTTATTTTCAATTCTGTTTATTTTTGTAATATTCTGAATAAGTTATAAATTCAGAATTTTATTTAATTTTATTTTC